TGGAAAATGAGGGTATTCTAAGAGTTCTGAAAGATAAGTCATGTCATCATTTTTCCGTAAAGGAGAGAGTCCTTTCCGGAACTATTTCACTCCGAGGAACCGCAAACATACTCGGTTGTTAAGAAGCAGGAAACGGTGTTAGTAACTCTGTATATAAAATCACGCAAGCTGCGAAACGCGCAAAAAGTGAAATGGTTTCTGCAGTCGATTAAATACGTCTTGAAATGCTTCAAGCATTAGGCGAACAGGACACGCGTTGGCTTATTCGTGTCTTTCAAACTGCAATGGATACGGGGAAAATACCAAATGACTAAAAGATGGGGCTGTAATGTTCAGGAAGGATGAGTACATCGAGTGCTCGAATTTTCAGGGCATTGCTTCATTGAACCTTCCGTGTGCTTGAAAAGAAGTGCCGCGGAAGAACAGACTTCAAAATACAAGAGGAGTGTAGCTAACGATCTGGCAAATATTTGCCTTACGCGAAGTTGTTGAGAAATCGTCAGAGTTCACTCATTCCGTTAATATGTACTTTATGAACTTGCAGTAAGCTTATGTCCAGATCCAGCGCAACAAGCTATGGACGTGCCTCGTGGCACGTGAAATAGATAGCCAGTCGCTACTAGCTATTCAGTCACTATGCGCTCATAAAAAATGCCACATCAAATTAAATGGTGCGAAGTCGGTACCTTACAACTTTGGTCTCCGCTAAGGTTGCAGTCTGTCTCTCTCCTGTTTGTGCTGCACATAGATAGAATTTTCAGGCATTGCCAGGTCAATAGATACATCAAAGTAGGAGTTGTCGAAACGAGCAGGATCAATGTCAGATCTTTCATTGGCATCTTCTGATGCTGATCTCTAGCGCTCCCTGAAAAAGTTCACAGCCGAATGCAATTGGGCCGACATGCGTGTGAACGTCTCTAAAAGGATAAACCTAAAATTTTTCTTGTTCTCCGGCCCGTTGCTCTCTTCAATAAATGAAGACGCAGTGAAGCCGTTAGAGAAGTTCAAGTGCCTTCTCGTCGTGTTTACTGATGATTGAATAGGATAAGAAGAGATCGACCGGGGAACTGGAATTGCTAGTGGCGTTTTTCGTGAACTTGCCCATATGGTTATGACCAAGGTATAGCTGAAGATGATGACTAAATTTTCGATGTTCAAGTAGATATTCATTCCCATGATCACCCACGACCATGATCGTGGGCCGCGGTTGAGAAACTTCTATCAAGGGCACCAGCGGCTGAAATGAGCTTTCTT